TATATGTATATCTTACTTAGGTCCCGGATTTTTCGTATTAAAATGAAAACAGAGGGAACATTAATTCTCACAATTTTCCAAACCTGTAGGTGTTTTGACGATGGGAAAGGGATACTTTTGGCAGCGAGCCTTCAATTTCTGTCAGTTAAATATTTTAGTATCAAAGTTAAATATAAATTATCGTGCGAGCGCTGTCAAATGCAAACTTCAGTTTTTGTTAAAAAAAAAAAAAAATAACTTTCGTCTTTATTCTCGATTGCCTCAATCAATTGATTCATAAAGCCCGCTGAAGACAAATGGTCCCGTCAAAAATGAGTCATTTTAAAATCGAATTATAAATTAATTTATGGTTTAATATTTCGAGCAGGTAACAATAGAATCTAAAAATAGGCGGCCAATTTCATACTAGTTACAAATTTCGTTAGTCGCGAGGTGAATTTAAGTTCCTAAGACATTTTATTTTTGTTTTTATCTTAGTTGAAAACCGTTTTTTTATTTATATTATTGTTGTGATATTTTTTAATCGAGAATCAATTTCAATTTTTTTCTTGAATTTATTTGAAAAGCTTGGTCTCATATAAATTAGAAAAAATATTTTACATTTAAAAATAGAAAATTTTGAGATAAAGAATACAGTTTATCACATTGATGATTACGGTACGGACTACGACAATGATTTTTTCAAGTTAATTATTGTGATTTCAGCTTAGTGTGGTCAGCCATCTTTGTTAAATGTATGTTTTAATGTATTTGTTACTTGCTTCTGCCCGCGACTCCGCCCGCGTCTATGTCGGTTACCCCAGTAAAAAGTAGCCTATGTTACTCGCGATTAGATAGCTTTCCATGGGTAAAATAATTTTACAAATTGGTTTAGTGGTTTAGGCGTGAAAGCGTAACAAACAAACAAACTCACTGCCACATTTATAATATAAATGAATATACTCATAAACAACTTACACGTGTAATGACGAGTGGTTGTCAACGGTATATTTAATGGTAGATATATCATTCAAGGGTATAAAAAAACACTTACATAGTGTAAACAGATGTAGACTATCTGAAGTGGAACGTTTTTTTTGGGAGGGGAGGGGGGACCGGCGGTGAAAAGCAATATTTTAGCTTAACGCCGGTTTTTGTGAGGCTGTGGTTACACTCCGGCCGTGGTTGGTTGGTTTTGCCGCAATTTAAGAGCCACTCCCATCTATGTCTATAGTACACCCCCTCTTAGCTGATGGTCGCGAAGTGAAATATAGATATAGATTTATTGCTATTCTTATTAATCTTGATATACGATATTGCTTTAAAAACCATATATAGGTACAGTCAGCAATGAAAAGAACTTAACTCTATTGTTTACCCTTGTCAAGGACTTGTTTTGAGTGTTTGCTTTTTGCCTCCAAACACTTAAAACTCAAAAGAAGACACTTTTCAAAATTACAATAGATACCTATTAGTTACTTACGTCATTAGCTGTACTAACATTTTCTTAGGTATTAAATAATCAATGTTATATAGCTTTTATAATAGCAAAGCTAAGCTAAAAATGTGATTAGAAAGAGGCGTGTCAAAATTGACGCTAGAACCCAGTGTTGCCAACTGGCCCTCTATTTCTCTTCTCAAATCCATTCGAATGTCATCCCCAAAAAATTACCAAGTTCTTTTTTCCTAAGCACTGACTGTTTTTGCAAATACAGAAAATATATTTTTACCAGCAATCAGGTAAAATTAAATGTTAAAATCTTTCTAGCTCTGAATTGTTTCAGTGTAAATGTTGGCAATAAATTCCTTATACCTTAGAAACAATACTTTTTTCTTGATAATAGATACCCTTTTTTGTACCCCCAAAACTTGTATGTAAAATTTCACGGTGGAGTAGTTTAGACATGAAAATGTAACAAACAAGGAAGCCGCACCTTTGTATTTATAATATAAATTTCTAGTGTTTTTTTGGTCTTAATAACTGACGAATCTTGCAAATTATGATACACCAGTCGTCTAATTAGTGTATGCCATTTATTAATGTATATATTATATATTATTATTATAAAAACATTAATTTATAAAAACGAATTGCTTTATGAGATTTTCTAACCCTCTTTGGCAGTGTATTATAGAAAAATAAGAGCGATTGTGCCAACCTCAGTAGTTGTAAATTCTTTACAGCTATTCGAGTCAGATTGATTCAAACACCGATAACCACTTACCCTATTGGGAGAAAATGGTGGGGCATTTTGCTTTTTCCCCTAGTAGTAAAAACTTACAAATACGTACTGACATGAAAGAAGTTAGTATGTTTGAGCTGTCATTATGTAGTAATATTAAATAAAAAGAGAGGCAGTCATAATGACTGCGGAAAGAATTGAAACCCAGCAAGTCTGGCGCAAAAGGTCACGAGCATGTCGAGGTCATAGGTGAAGGACCCGTAAGTTTTTCCCTTATCAATCTTCATCAATCAAAAGATTTCATTTTAAAAATAAAATTGACAGTGTTATAATTGATTGCGTACATTCTTTAATTACTTCGTACGCAATTCGTAAGCAATAATGCTTTCCTACCATTGCCTTCCCCTCTCATCTACCTTTTCTTTTAATATACTGCCAACTTTCGCATCTTACCCCAAAACGTCCGATTAATGGCAATAAGCTTGCTCTTTGTTGGCAAAGTTGGCAAAATTTGGATGTGTAGTAAAACTATTCGTTGATAGAGCGTGCGTGATGGTATGAAATATGTTTGTAATGTGAGTAAAATGCTGTATCTCGATAATACGTATAGTAAAATAATAATATCGTGCAAAAACCGTTGAATATTAAATTATATCTAATGAGTATCGCGACACTATCTGCTAATAAATAAAATATGCTACACGGGGCTCGCCGTCGTACGGCCGCCTCCACAATCACACGAAACAAATACTTTACTAATACTAAACTAATAATGTACAAATTGCTATATACAAATAATGTACCTTCATGTTAAACAAAAACTTTTTTCATATATCCTCCGTTTAAGGCTTTAAAAAAAATTGTTTTACGACGACAATTTTATATTGCTTAGTAAAAATCACTAAATGTTGTACTTTAAATATACATAAAATGTTCAGGGAGTAACACTCGAGCCATTAAGGTAGCACTCATTGACATAAGGCGAGAATCGATAGGATGATTAAATTATGTAGCAGTTCTCACAAAATTAGGTGTTACGTAAACTCTTGACGTTAGCAAGGTATGACGTCACAATTTGTTATATTGACATCAGCTATAACGTAGAAAAGTCAGTTCGTATCAGTTTTTCGAAGTCGTGGTAAAGATATCCGATCAACGAGGAATGAGGGTGTCAATCATCACGGCATAAGCTTGTTCCTTGTTAATATTTGGATTGAATTGTTAGTAAAAAGTCGTATCGGATTTGTCGGAATACCCGTATCATCCCAATACTAGTATTTTCAATTTTAGACCTACCCGCAGTCAGAAGAATCTTTATGTAATGTTTATATTTACATAATATGTACCAGTTTAGGACATGTAAAAATAAATGTTAATCAGAAATACATGCTTTTAAATACATTACATAACCGACCTCTAGGACGTTTGCCAAATAGGACGATGTTCAGTCGGGAATGTTAATGAGTGAAGTATAATCTTTGAGTCTAGATACTATCACGCTTTAAAACATCTGTCAGCAGGTAACCAAACACCTTACATAAAGTATGGGTGAACCAAATATCTATCAGGTTATAATTATTTATTCCGCATGTATTATATTTATTCACCAGACTGGCATAAAATTGTAAATATCTCACCATTTCGGAATTAAAGGATAATAAACTGTTCACCAGTCCTTATGAAATTAAGTACCACTAGTCTTTTGATACAAATTTCTCCAGAATGTATCGTTTTAACTCACCGGTTAGAATGTAATCTACTGATCCGTGGTATGAAATGGGACTCAACCGCGATAACATATATTTATATGGTGGGTAGGGTTCTTTGTGATTAAGACGACGTTTCGCCGAAATTGTGATACAATTCACATCTAAATATTAATTTACGATTCAAGCCTTTTATGTACATATATTTAGGTGTCGCAAAAATTATTGTTTGTCGCGATTGTATGTCAAAATAGCTATCACATCAACAACCTTTAATAGTCCACTGCTGGACATAGGCCTCTCCTTAGGAAGGAGGTTTAAATATAATACCTACACGTAATATCAATTCGCACACGATTATTTATCCGTTAATAAAGTATGCGTGTATGTGTGCTATAATGTGCTGACTGTTCTAACTTCTATAAATAGCAATTTTATGTCTGTGACCTTAGCTAAGTAATGCCTAAACACTACCAGGAATCTAGACATATCGATATTAATCAAATATTTGAAATAGCAGTAATTGTTCTAATAAATAATATACTTAGCAACTAATACAATGGAGATTGCTAAGACAAGGTATGTAGAGGAGTTTTGTAGGACTAGGCATTGGTTTTCGTTTTAGTAAAAATTGCACCTAATTTAGTGTTCGTAAAAGTATGTATGGATTGGATTACTTTTGGTAAATATCTGACAGAACAGATTTTTGCTATTGTGTGTGTTGATCGATGAGTTTAGAGTCTAAGACGATTTCAAACATTCTTTTTTTGAAATAATAACAGTTTGAGTTTGGATTTCCACTTTACAATAAAAAGTACTTCAGCTAAACTTCCAAATAACAATAAATAATTCACTTTGCACTTCGCGAAATTCAATCATAAAGTCAATTGACATACATTCAACTAATAAATTTCTTTAAAATTAATAAAACAATTTGGTCTCACTAACACATCGAATCACTTTTTAAACTAAATCTTTCGTCCATTTTCAAATCAATAAATATTTGCACCGAGTATTAGAGTATGCAGTCACTCACCGATGTTATATTCCAACGCGCATCCGATAGATTACTACAAATTAATATAAATAGGATCAATAAACCGCTAATAGCGTTGAGTATCGCGTGAGCAGTTCACGTGTTGGCATGGACTGTGAGGGGGGCGGAGTGGTCCAGCGGCGAGCTGTGCTCGGTGCGGTATTCTGCGTCACTGGTGTTGGTGCGCAAAGAAGCGAACTCGCGACGTGCCGTGCTCTCAGACACCCAGTGCCAACGCGACCGGCGAGCGCGCACCGCATAAGAGGATTCCTCAAATCCAGAGCGGAGCCCAAGCACGATGCTGAGGGCAGATGCATCCTGCCCGTGACAGCCGGAGTACCGGTATTGCGGTTTCTTGTCGAATCTGCAGCCCACGGACTGAGCACCTGCAAAATAAAATACAATGATTAAACTTCGTACCGCATCAATATGATTATTTAGACCTGGAATAAAAAATATATTACAGACGCAGGCATAAGAACGTCGTAAGAGGCGACTAAGGGAGCAAACTACGCAGGACAACAGCACTGCAAAGAGAAGGAAAACTTGACATAAACCCTATACCAACCCGTCTGGCCAGCGTGGCATAGTAGGCCAAAACCTCCTTTCTAAGGAGAGGCCTATGTCCAGCAGTGGACTATTAAAGGCTGTTGATGATGATGATGATGAGGCATAAGAACTAGCAAATTTACACAAAAAAATAAATTACTCTATTCCTGATCGTTTCCGGTTGCCATGTTGTATGGCAATGGCCAACCTTTGCACCAGGATTGATTTGGAGCGGGAGTCACTATTGACACTATTGACGGGCCGGTTGGTCTAGTGGTTAGTGACCCTGACTGCTAAGCCGGAGTTCGTGGGTTCGATTCCCACCCAGGACAAATATTGTGTGATGAGCACGGTCATTTGTTCTGTGTCTGGTTGTAATTTATCTAGAATATGTGTGTATTTAAAAATATATAAGTATGTTTATCAGCAGTCTGGTTACCATAGTACAGGCTCCGCCTAGTTTGGGATTAGACGGTCATGTGCGAGATGTGTGAGGTATATATATTATATTACTTCTATAAGTTTTCGACCTAGCTCCTTAATAAATTTCCTAGTGTCAGCATCCCAGCTGCACGGTCCCCACCGACACAGTGACGAAGTCGTAATGCTTATGAACTAAAATTAATTTTAGTTCTAAGTTGATAGTTGCTATAATTTCAAACGAGCAGTATACTTAGTAGTTAATAGTTCAGTGTTAATCCAACGTTTAAAGACAATTAATTACTGCTGAAGTAAAGAACAGTTCACCGTCGAATCTTCATTCCGAGTCCGTGTGGTGACGGATTAAGAATACAAATTGTCACCACCCCAATTCATCCCGTGGGTGTCGTAAGAGCCGACTAAGGGAGCAAACTAAGCAGGACAACATCACTGCAAAGAGAAGGAAAACTTGAAACAAACCCTATACCAACCCGTCCGGCCAGCGTGGTATAGTAGGCCAAAACCTCCTTTCTAAGGAGAGGCCTATGTCCAGCAGTGGAATAGTATAGGCTGTTGATGATGATGAATCTTCATTAAAACAACTTGCAGTTATTGACATGCAAATTCTCTGATTTAAAAGCTAACATATTTTGCATTTGATACAATATTACACTGCACAGATAGAACAATAAGTATAGTACACACAAAAGTAACTGTCTCGTCTCCAAGCTAGCTTGTCTCCCTTGCTTCATTGTTAGAAAAGTCGGCCGCGACACGGTTGTCATTCCTAGTGCGAGGGAAACCTTCTAATTACAAAAGATATAAACTTAACATTGAACTGTATATACCGATTGAAATATTGTACTTACCGGTTACAAAATACCTATACTAATGTTATAACCCTAAAGAGTTTTTTTTTATTGTTTGCTTCAATTCGTTAATCTCTGAAACTATTAGTCAGTTTTGAATCATTATTTTCCTCATCATCATCATCATCAACAGCCTTTAATCCTGTCCTTAGAAAGGAGGTTTTAGCCTACTATACCACGCTGGCCAGACCGGTTGGTATAGGGTTTGTGTCAAGTTTACCCTCTCTGCAGTGCTGTTGTTCTGCGTAGTTTTTCCCTTAGTCGGCACGTACGACACCCACGGGATGAATAGGGATGGTGACACACTGTATTCTTAATCCGTCACCACACCGTATTATTTTCCTATTAAGTATTTATTGAGGAAGGTTGTAGATACATGTGCCCTTTCGCTACGACCGTCAGGACTGTGCAGTCACTAAACGCAGGTGGAACGAAAGGACTTTGCTAATTTACCTAGAATATTATTTTGTTGCTAAAACACAACAAAGGAATGAAGGACTCAAGGAAAAAGTATTATACTATAACATGTATTGTATTATCGTATATATTGTTTTATCGTGATTGTATTCTAAAACCTTGTTACATACCTATAGGCATGATACAGTCGACCGTTAAAGCGCACTGTATCCACGGCCTCATGACATCCACGACCGCCGGCTTATTAGCCACGATGAGTCTGGTGACGTCCACCATTTGGACGAATAGGAAGTCGTCTATGCTGGCGTGGAAGTAGTGGAACATGCGGGGATGTGTCAGGGACGTGACGGCAGCCAACCGGGGCCACGCGAGCACACCACTTCCGGAGAGAGCACGTTTCCATAGAGCGTCCAACTCAGTGGTAGTGCCGGTCCATCGTTGTGAAGTGTCGCAGAATATCACGCCTCCGACGCGACTGAGTGCGTGCTGAAACAATAAGGATTTAATTAAACTCTACAGTCTTAAGTTTTAACGTTCAGGCAAAGACAAACTCGCGGATAACACTTCTCGTCTTATAAGTATATATTTAGGCATAGATATCTTTTTCTAGCCCCCCACTTGTTCGACGCAATAGTCGAGGTTTAATAAGTTGTTTATCCTACAATATTTCTTAATAAACAGCCTACAAATAATATCTATTAAAGTTTTAAAACCCGGTTACAGCGTTTACTAATAAATTAGAACCTAGTTAAATGCAATTTTTGGCAGCAATCTCATAACACCATTGGTATTTTTAAAATTCACACACACAACCAATTATATTTCGTGACTACTAGTCGTCACTGTTTTGAAATGCAAATCCGTAGAAAAAGGGCTCAACAAGCTAATATGCCTGTAGACCTAAACCTAATTAGCATTAGTCAACCTTGTGATTGGTTGGTATCGTAAGTAGATCTCTAAGGCCTGCCTCTCTACGACATATCATGTATCACAAGGCCGGTTCAAAAAATGCTGCGTCAGCTCCGATAACATCCTTGGCACCGGCTATATAGACTTCCGTCTGCACACTTATCTGAGAAAGCTTATACAGCATTATATAGGAACTCAGTATCACATATTGTTTTGCTTTCTTGTGAATGCAGCTTTAGAAATTCAAATACTAATAAGTAATAATATTCAATACCTGGAACTATCAGTCTGCCAGTTCCAGAATATTCAAAAAGAAAGGTTATGTGATCACAATACCTTACTACATGTTAGAACAACGTTACCAATTCCAAACTCGTCTTATCGAATCCTATAAGTACAATTCAGAGGGCTGACTAGAAGAAATAGAAAAGAGTTAAGAGTGGTTTCAAAATGCCAAATAGTAATATTATCATCCACACAAGTTTAGTTTTTAGTAAACGCTGATCTCTAAACTAGGTTTAGTACCTGTATTTTAGAAATCAGTGCCCCTGTTGTTTTTGACAAAATACAAAGCCGTATACATATGTTGAGATCGAAAAACAAAAAACAACAATAACATTTAAAATAATAGTAGGGTTAGTTGATGTGTGTGTACTAATGTGTGTTCGAGTTTATGTATGTGTGAGGTGTGGGTGTGTACGCGCATGAGTGTATGTGCGTGTATATATTACTATTTCAAGCGTCCCAGCAGAAGATCCTCAGTGTTACGATAATCTAATTTAAGTAGAAATTCTTTGAGTATATTTTTACATTGGCATTTATTTTTTGAATATATACTCGTACCTAGAACTTTATTTGGGTAGTTATATAACATTATACTATTGACATGGTTTTGTCTCTTAGCGTATGAAGTTCTATGCATCTCCAAGGGAAAAATCCTGTACTTAAGTCTTCCAGCAGGCTCTGTAGGAGGACGAGACGAGTGTTTACAAATCACACATTGTAGGACATAGAGCTGTCTGACAGTTAAAAGATTGCATTCTGCATAAAGAAGTTTAGTGGGATATCTGAGTGGTCGTGAATACATAACTTTCAAGACTGCCCTCTGAGCTCTCTCCAGTCGAATGAAGACTGTTTCTGTGTGTGTTCTGTGTGTGTGTGTCCAAACCGGTACACAATAGCTGAAAACTGATTGACACAAGGCAAAGTAAACGATTCTTAGCGTATCCAGATCTGCCTAATTACGCAGTTTTTTGAAGATAAAGATTAACTTGCGAGTTCTATTTGAGAGTAAATTAATGCGAATGGCGAAATAAACTTAATTATGTTAAGAGAACGCATAAATTATATTAACTGTCCAATTTTTAGTTAAGCAAGCATAATAACCAAGTCTTATTTAGTTAGTAGAATGCACTTTTACATAATCGCGTAAATGAATCACCTCCAAAGTTAATTATGAAACATTATTACTCTAAATAAATCCTAAACGTCGACTTAGAACTCTGATTCTAAATCTTTAAGTTATTACCATAGATATTAAGGATCATCGGTCACGCAACATGTACTTACTTAACTTGATTAGATGCTTAACAAGAGACTAATCTAACCTAAATGTAAGCGTTTCATGATATTTGTATAATTATTATTAACGAACAGTGTGCCTGTGACCAGGGCCAGTGCAAAACATGAAACATCAGCCAATAGGGTAGATTCCTTGATTTAAAATAAATTATTTCGGGGTAATCTTTAAATGTAACATCTGAAAATACAGCCTGCACCAAATATTTTTATCGTTTTTAAATATTTAAATCAACATTAATCATAAATGATTTGACAATAGCTAGGTACGGCGGTTTGAAACTAAATGGCCTTGTGCGTCTGAACTAATGTCGAAAATATGATAATAAAAATATTATTATTATTAAATATATCCGGGCCTATTCATCCCGTAGGTGTCGTAAGAGGCGACTAGGGGAACAAACGACGTACCAGGGACTTAATTCTAGGGTATACCTGGTTCCCCGGCTATTAGTACCCGAGACGGCGTGCGGTTTTAGTCGGTTCGAGCCCGACATGCCACCGACAGGTGGTATCCGAGGGGATTTCCGCACGGAAAAAAAAAAAAAAAAAAAGGGGAACAAACTACGCAGGACAACAGCATACCAACCCGCCTGGCCAGCGTGGTATAGTAGCCCTCATTCGTTGTATAGTAAACCTCATTTCTAAGGAGAGGCCTATGTCCAGCAGTGGACTATTATAGGCTGTTGATGTGGGCGTAAGCAGAGGTGTATTAAACGACTGTAATGTTTGACGGATTATATAATTTTCAATCCCACTTACAGGGGAATTAGATGAAAAAGTTGGTGGGAAGGGAAATCAATGGTAGTAAACGGCTTTTGCTTATACGGATGGACTGGAGTGTGTAAGCAACAGGTCAAGAGCTGGTCAGGGTCCAATACCTACTTTTAACTCCATGTGAATATTACCTGGAAGTCTGAGCCCTGTTCTTGAACCTCAAATTATTAATCGCGTTAATTTCCGTTGGCTTGTAACAATTATAAGAAAGAGTCTAATAGTGAAGGTGAGTTTGTTTGTTTGTTTCTTTGTAACGGTTTCGGGCCTAAACCACATACCGATTTTAAAAATTATTTCACCAATTGAAAGCTCCATTATCAGCGAGTACCAAAGGCTAACCGACATACACGCAGGCGGAGTTGTGAACAAAAGCTATTAGTCTTATGAATTGAAGCAACAATTTAGTGATTGATGCTAATTCTGTTGTTCGAAAACTCACTAAACTAAACTAAAAATCCCTAAAAAATGTTTAGTCCTGCCAAATTCTACGTTTTCAGAACAGGAAACGTTATTTGACAGGACGAAACAAATTTTTAGTGCTATCTCTTAAAAACGTCAAACCACATGTTAGTTGGATGTAATAACATATTTTATCTTTCATCTAATTTGACACTATTTTTTAGTTATGTTTATCTTGTATCGTATCTTAATTATATTAGTGGTTTACGAATCGTATTTAACATACGATAGTACAATGGTCTTGATCCCGTACATACTCTAAAACTAGAGTATTTATTTATGTATAGATAGACATAAACAAAAACAAAAAAAATATTATGTATAGATAAATAATACGTAATGTTGGTTTATATACGTTCAAGAACTCAAAAAGTTCTGCACCAAATGAGCTAAAATTTTTAAACGATGGTTTACCCTTTTTTTTTTTCCGTGCTGAAATCCCCTCGGATACCACCTGTCGGTGGCATGTCGGACTCGAACCGACTAAAACCGCACGCCGTCTCGGGTACTAATAGCCGGGGAACCAGGTATACCCTAGAAAGGAAGTCCCTGGTGAACGATGGTTTACCCTCGTTTCAGATATGGTTTTTATCTATTTTTCGTGTCAGTTTTTTCCCTCATTTCTCACAGCGAATCGTGTCAAACCGCTAGTAGGGTAGCTACTGACATAATATCTATTTTCATTACTCCATCACCGCCATGTGGCTAGTGACAATGACAATTCCGCGAACATTACAACTGTGCAGAAATAAAACGTCTGTAAAAATTATCTATTTATAACTTTGACTAGTATATTATTAATCTATCACAAAAGGAAATTCATCATCACTATCACCTGAATGTCATTTCTAGCTAATGTACTGAGTTGCCAAACAAACAAACACAGTGTGTGCGTTATAACAAGACTTTTAATGATGTGAAACTTCCGAACTGCGTAAGTACAATTGACAGGACCGCGCATAGGCTGAATCAATTTTGGTGACGTTGTCGACTGAAATTTTACTACAACGAATTTATGAAAAATAACGATAGGGCTCAAAATCATTACTATAAACTACGTTAATATACAAAGAATGATGTTGTTACAATCTAGTAATTAGATTTCACATGCAACGTTATTTTATTGCACTATTAATTAGTACTATACAATGTGAAAGTTAAGTTGCCTTACAATTGCAGATTAAAGTTGCAATTATATTTAAATACATCATCATCTATCCCTAATTAGTCCACTGCTGGCAATAGGCCTCTGACACATTGCAAGTAGCTTGCGCATGTTGAGTCACTTGCGAAGTTATATGCTTCGTGGAAAGGACTAAGCGGGTCCAGTGATTCGAGCATGTACCAGCGCGAGCTCCCCGCGTACGTATAAACGTACGATTTGCAACGCGCGCTAAATTTATCAACTCTAGTGGAATAACATTTTTAACAAATTATTCTATAAGAATTCTCGTTCGTCGAAGCATTTAACCATGTATCAAACGAGGGAGTAACTTGTGCATACTACTCACACAAATAGCCTCCCCGGTCCAGCTACTTGCACCGTGTGGAAGCACCCTTAGAAAAGAGGTTTAAATACATACAAATAAGATACTCACGGCTTTATTCCCGTAGAGAGAAACAGAGATGTATTAAAGGCCCGTATTTTGCCGACTACAATTTTAATCTCACTTACGTAATACCCCCAGCCTATTGCCGTCAACGGGGAACTTCGGGAATTAGATGGGAAAATTGTGAGTTCAATATGAAAGGTTAAGTCGGCAAGATGGAAAGGCAATGGCAGAAAAGAGATATTGGATACAGAGACCCAAGTGGTAGTTTACTTCACATCATCTCGCTCTGGACAGCGAGCGCGTCCGGTGTTGTGATTGGTGCAGATTTCAGAGGCCCAAGTGTTAGTTTATTTCGGCACTGCTATTGCCCCGCACTGAAATCTGCTGCATCTGAAAGTTGCACTATGGCCCTCAGATGGATTGGGACTGTAAGCAGGTCGAGTGGGGTAGCATACATGTAACTACAACTAACTGTTGCAGGGAGGTCTTAGCCCTCTAACTGTAGTTAAATAACGTATGTATATCAATATAGTAATCAACTGTCAATGCTTGTTTTCTACTGATGACAGTTGTAATCGATTAAAACGTTCTGCACATTCTATTGTTCTCAACAAACAATGGTAATCCTGTCATGCTGATTTGACACTATTTGACGTCCGGTTTGCACTGTCATTCTTGTGTAACTCTGGTAAGGCATTGGCAAAATCTGTTTCCACCCAATCATAGTCATCTCAGCCGAAAGACGTCAACTGCTCGACATAGGCCTCCCCAAGGCTCTTCACATCAACCGGTCCTGTGCTGTCCGTATCCAACCGTATGTAACGCTCCTCAAAAAATATTATCTTTATTTTCAGCAAAACATATCTCTTCAAGTTATCTTTTGAGGCTCACCTCCTCGGTGAAACCGAATTCAATCTCGCTTCGGGCTATGGACAAAATCCGTGAAAAGTTTTCGTGCCGGTAGAAGACCACTCTTGGGCTTGATTTAATCAGCAATTTGTTTAGGTTCTATTAATTAGGTTTCGTTAAGCTTTTATACAAATTATAATACAGGATTAAGAAATCAAACATGTAGTAGAATCTAGAATATAGGCGGCGTTGATCTAAAGTGGTGACTCAACGGTGGAAAGAGTAAATATGAGATAGTGCTGCTTGCACCAGCTATCTACATTAGATAACGTGATCATGCAGAGCGTCTAAAAATGGGTTTGTGCATTAATATAAAGTATTACAAATAATACTATATAATCCGTTGGGTGACGTATTAAGACTACAGAGTGTCACCACCCCTATTCGTCGAATGGTGTCGTAAAAGACGACTAAGAACAGAACAGCACTGCAAAGAGAACTAAAACTTGAAACGAACCCTATACCAAACCGTCTGGCCAGCGTGCCATAGTAGGGCAAAACCTCCTTTCTAGAGAGATGCCTATGTCCAGCAGTGGACTATTAAAGGATGATGATGATGATGAAATTATATACTCATCATTGCTTTAAAAAACTTGTCGCTTAAATCTGATATAAAGTCTGAAATTTGCAGAAAAATAAGTGGAATTTGTGTAAAGATAGTATTTGTTCAAACAAATTCAATAATATCCTAAATAATTGTAATGGAAGGCATTTCTTAAACGCTTTATATAATATTTTTAAAGCTTTTTAGTTACGAAGCCGTACAGCGTAGAAGCCGCTCTAGACACCCGATATTATATATAGTTGAAACTCATGGAATTGTAATTAGGATACGCCCCTGTTGTAATATACTTACCTAACTTTTTACCCAAGCAGAATCTTGTTTTGGGGAATTCTGAAAGTGTTATTGATTTTGAAAAAAAATCTTTTGAGCAGCATTTATTCCCCAAAAGATCATGATAACTATTCTACAAATGATAATTTAACTATGCGCATTCTTGGACTCATGGGCATATTTTTTTATTAAACAAAATGTATTTTTCTGAATGTTTCACGTGTATCTCAATATATTTGAATTATAGAAAAAGTTTACTGTTATGACAAAGTTGCGTAATTGCTATTTTTAAATTTATTTTTTTAATCCAGAATTAAACCCAGCCTGCGTTTAATTTAACTTTCAAGTAAGCTTGCAGTGAACTTGTTACTTTTACGAAGAAGAAGAAATGGAGCAAAAGTCTATCATACTTTCAGACTTATTCAGTACAAATACTAAATCTGTTGTACGGCTAAACAAACAAAGGACAGGCAACTTACAAGAAATAAAAGAAAACATTCTTTATCATCGTTATAAACACATTAGTGTCGTAACCGCGCTGTATAAATAAAAGGAATTTTGCAGGATCATCCCACTAATTACATAGCGCTAATGGCAGCACCTCGGCCCTTAATAAAGAGATTACGGCTGCTGTTGAATAACTTTTATTTATGCGAATCTTAGAATAGCAATATCACGCACGGCATTCTCTTCGTAACTTGTTACATGGGTATTATCTAAGGGGCCTAGTGCAAGTTTATTTCAACATCAACTCGCTCTCGACAGCAAGCGCGTTCGGCTTTGCGATTGGTGTAGTTTTCAGTGCAGGCCAATCGCAGCCCCGAACGCGGTTACCGTGACGATCGATAGGATGTGAAATAAACTCGCACTTGGGCCTCTGATGACGTTATTGCACAGTAATGCAGTTAATTGTTTTCACTATGTGATTCAAAAGATCTAAAAAAATGATATGATATTCTTATTCAAAGCTTATAGGACGGTTAGCACTGAGGCTTTGCCGGTGCTTCTGGTCGATCTCCAGGTGCAGAGACGTGCAGCCATGTACTATTCAAGACAATAAAACATGGATTGCGATTTTTTTGGGCGAGATCGCGACAAAATTACAAGATTGCTTCTAGAGCAGTCCGATGTCTGTAATGACCTCACAGACGAATGGCAACAACGCTGGGACGAATCAACGCTGGGACGAATCAACTAAGGGGCACTACCTTCACCAGTACTTTCCATCTGTTCCCGAACGGTTGTCGAGGACATGGTTTGAGGTGGATCACTGTGTCGCTCAATTTCTTACAGGTCATGGTAACTTTAAAAGCAAGTAGTATTCATTTAAATTAGTTGAGTCACCCATAGTGTCAATGCTCAACACCTAACTCTAACTGTGAATAGTCTGTTCATCATATAATCTGGTAATGTAGTCTTTAGTATAATGAACGTAATATAATGCTGAATAGCTTGCAGGTGACATCTGGCGGCGGTATACTAAGGGAATCTAATGTCAACTAGGGTGAATTTCCGTGCCTTTAGGCGATTTTGCCATACATGTTAAAGAAATCAAATATAGCTCACTTAGGAACCATCATACTTTGTGGCCGTGGTGCTTCCCTGTTTGAAAGGGTGTATGCCTATTTTACTTCATTTTGTCTCCCGCTTTGTTAAGGAGGGAAGTGCATTTACTGTATTTCCAACTCGTCTAATTTTCTTCTGATTAATATCGTTGCGGGTTCCAAAACAGTTTAATTTTCTACCTTGGACTTCTTGAGTGTCATAACTCGGTGTATTCGTGGGTCACTTCTGTTGATCCTGGTGTACAGGAGTTATAGTGGTGGGCGTGTGGGAGGGATTAGTCCCAATTAAAAAAAAAATCTGCGATTTTCATATGATTTTTTTAATACTAACCACAGATATTCGTAACTATTTTTTGTATTACTATTACCGATAAATGTAGAACATTATGAATTAAAACGGTAAAAGTGATGAATTAAACATTATATCACGATTACAAAACCATACATATTGATAATGACGAGTTATTAATTAATATTTATCACATTATCCGACTGTACCGTAACATTATACTGCTCTTAACTGTACTTGCGTGAGTACGAATTTTAAATACATAAAATGATCATTTAAATGTAAATAAACTGTATTTAATTATATCTGCAAGTTAGTTAGGCGTGAGTTGTGTGTTAGAAATGAAGAATCATGGCTCATGGCGGTCCATCGGCTCTGCCTACCATGGGTGGGAAATAAGGCGTGTATAGGTGGATAGATATTTAAATTTCTATAATAATATAACTTCTCACAGCTCACACACAATCGTCTGGCCGATCTTCCAAACTAAGCTGAGCCTGTACTTTGGAAAGCAGACT